TTTCACTTCAAGGTCGTTTGGTATTTTATACTTCTTTTTTTGGCTTCATATTTAATTCAGTCACTGCTAGGATGCCCAGGGAGGAGAAATGGAAAGTTAGTCAATACTGGGAGTATGAATCCAAGTATAAAAACTGCTTTAGCAAATGCAGGAAATGAGAAGGGGAAGGAAGATATATAGAACATATATATGCTATATTATATATATATAAAACTTAGAGACTGCCAGCAAATTTTGTATTTTTATTGGCAGTAATGAATAATGTAAATACTGTGTAAGAGTTATCCTCATACCCAGTGTATGTGAATGGATGTGTATAAGAGCTAAGAACTTAAAATCTTAGAATGTAGCTTGGTTATAAGAAATCAACTTAATCAGTCTTGTAAATCTCAAAGCACAGTTTTTGGCACAGTACTGAAAACCTAGCGTAGTTAACTTAATTACAGTGGCTAAGGAACTCCGGGGAGGGATGTTTTACAAGGACATGTAGTGATAGGAAGAGAGGGAATGGTTTCAAACTGGAAGAGGGTAGATTTAGATATTAGGAAGAAATTCTTAACTGTGAGGGTGGTGAGGCACTGGAACAGGTTGCCCAGGGAAGCTGTGGATGTGGATACTGGATGGGGCTTTGAGCATCCTGGTCTAGTGGGATGTGGCCCTGCCCATGACAGGGAGGTTGGAACTAGATGATCTTCTAGGTCCTTTCCAACCCAAACCATTCTATGACTCTATATTTCTCTGATTCTCTGATCTTTATGTTCCATATAAAGTATTTAATTTTAATCTCTGCTCAGGGAATATATTTTAAAAAACAAACCAAAACAAATACAGTTCATTTGAGTTTTAGGATAATAGTTAATCTCATAATAGAATTTCCCAGTTTTGTATTTCATATACATATATATGTTATCAATTTAGATAGCAGAAAATGGTATATAAATATTTATTTAACGTAACTTAAGATAGTGTGACTGCGAACTACTACCTGAAATGCAGGAAGCATTTCCCTTCTACCACTGGTCTTTTTGTGGTTTAATTATATAGGCTGCAATGTATTGAAATCTTCCCAAGTCTGTTCACTGACAGCCTCCCAATCTACTGTGAGCTCTTGACACATTAAATAATGTTTAGAAATTTTTTTGCAGGAAATGCTACTCTTTTTCTTTCTTTCTTTTTTTCTTTCTTTTTTTTTTCTTTTTTTTTTTTTTTTTCTGTTAGAAAGGAAGGAGCAAAGAGAAATTCTGCTTTGATGGAGCAATTGAAAAGAGAGAAAGTGGCAGAGAGAAGTGTTGGTCCATTGATTGTGCAGGTCCGAGCATTTTATGGTAGCTAACATGCAGCATGTTTCTATTTTCTTCTTTTGTTTAAAAAGGGACCATAATTATTTACAAAAACTGATAAAAAAGTTAAACTTAAAAAAATTAAAACAGCTAGTTGGAAAATTGATTAGAGAAACTTTAAAAAGTGCCAGATAACTTTTACTCAGAATTGTCATGAATTCCATATAAGAGAAAAATAAATGCTTAGAGAAAAATCTAAACACAACACTTATTATTACTCCTTACTATATAGGTTCACTTTTAATGCAAGAGGCTAAGATTACCACAAATCTACTCTTTAGGATTAGGAGGAAGAGAAGAAGAATAAAATTAATTAATAGGAAGCATTTGCAATATCTAAAGCTCTGGAATTAACATTGAAATGTTTGCACTTGGGACATTTTTTCTTTATTTCTCCTGGACTTCTGTGATAAATTGTAATAAAACCTGGCTAGCTCTATCTATTGTCCATTCTGTGGAAGCTTGTAACCTTCTTCTCCAATGCCCCATGTGCCTTTTAGAGTATTTTGATTTGGTTTATCTTTGGAGTTTAATTTTTTTTTTAATTTATTTTTTTTGAGAACAAGCAGTTTCATTTGGCTGTTTTAAGCAGTGTCTGTTTAATGCTGTAGAAGCTCCGAAAAACTAGGTACACAGAACTTTAGTGGAGGTGAACTAATAGTTGGAATGAGGTGTATAGCAATGTCCTTTATTAGTGTTTTCATTAAACAATCGTCACCTCATACGTTGTGTCTACATTTATGTGTATCAGCGTCAGCTCTTTCAAGTGAAGTAAAATCAAACACCACAAACTCAAATCTCTTCCTTAAACTCTTCCCAGTTCTGTGACTGTATTACAGTCCAGAGTTGGGTTTGTGTTTTATTCTTGCTTTTCATTTTGATAATTCTAATTATTATTGTACACTAAACCCAGCATGTAGCTAGCTTTGCTTACAGGTCATAGAATCATAGAGTGGTTTGAGTTGGAAGGGATGTTTAAAAATTATTTAGTTCAGGCTCCCTGCCATGAGCAGAAATAATCTTTGACTAGATCAGATTGCACGAAGTCCCTTCCGACTTGACTTTGAAATTTTCCAGTACTGGTGCATCCACAACTTCTTCGGGAAACTTGAGTGTCTTATGACCCTCACATTAAGGAGTCTCTTCCTCATGTACAATCTAAAGCTATCGGCTTTCAGTGTATGCAGTTCAGGATACAATTGGCTTTCTCGGCTATGAGTGCACATTGCATGCTCTTGTCCAATTTTTCTGTTCTTGTTGAATTTCATAAGGTTTGCATAGGCCAACTCCTGAAGACTGTCAAGGCCTCTCTGGGTGACATTCCTTCCCTGCAAACTGCACCACTCAGTTTTTTGTAATCTGCAAACCTGATAAGAGTGCATTCAATCCTACTGTCTAAATCATTGATGCATATACTAAATAATATTAGTCCCAGTGTGGACCCTTGAGGAACACTACTCATTACTGGTTTCCACTTCAACATTGAGCCATTGACTGTAACTCTTTGGACACAGCCATCCAGCCATTTCCTTATCCATCCAACAGTCTGTCTATCAAATCCATATCTCTCCAATTTAGCAGGAAGAATATTGTGGGGGGACAGTAACAAGAGCCTTATGAAAGTCCATGTAGATGACATTGGTGTCTCTTCTTTTGTTCACTGATGTAGTCACCATCATCAATGGTCACTACATTAGTCGAACACAATCTGCCTATAGTGAAGCTCTGTTGTTTGTCTCTAATCACCTCCCTGTCTTCCATAGGTTTTGATTTATCTTCCAGGAAGATGTGTCCCATGATCTTATCAGGCACAGAGGGGCAGCTGACTTACCTCTATGAATTTTATATTTAAAGCCTTTCTGTTGCACGCTCTTACTCAAAAATCACTGTGTTCTTCTCTCCCTGTACCTCGTTTTGTCTTTCTTTTGTTATTTTTTAGTGCTTTCACCAGTCTTATATTTTAAAATCTTCAAGGAAGGTAGCATGCATAATGACACTTTTTCACAGAACTGTATCATTAAAAAGTGTAATTTCTGAGTAAGTTATCTCACCCTGATTCAACTAATCATTGTGACATAGCACAATTTTATTTAAATTGAAGTAATACATATTCATGTCTTTTTAGAAATGTTAGCAGTTAAAGCTGTTTACACCATTGTATTCTCATAATCACCTTTGCTATTCTTTCTGTCAGGTTTCTTCAACTGTCCATGAATGTGGTGGTGATACTATAAGATTATTAGGAATTTCTTTTCTGATTTGGAAAGATGTTGATCACTTATTTTTTCTCTATCTTTGGATCAACAAGTTTTTTCTGCTTTTCTGAAAATCTGTTGTGCATGTCTGTGTGTGTGCGTGTTTGTTTCATCCTTAAATTTAAAGATATATTCAGTTTTTTGTCTAATTGGATTCCAGGCATTTTTTAAAAACTAAATTCCTCAAATTAGTATTTGAACCCATTTTGCGGAAGAAAATGCCAACTAGCTGAAGAGCAGTGTATAACTAACCAAAAACTAGAAAATGTAAAAGGATTTATTCTATCAGTATTGACTAGATAGTACTGAGAAAAAATAAAATAGAGCAACTTCAGAGTTATGTTTTTCTAAAAAACAGTTTTAAGGTGTATTTCTGGAATTTTCATTATCTCTGACATGGGGTTAGAGTCATTAATGTAATTCTAAAATGTTAAATGGTGGCCCAAATGTATTCTATTAGTGTAACATGACAGACAAGCTAAGGTTTTAAAGCAGAAAGTTTTCTTTGTGTCTTTGATTTGTAGAACAGGAAGTACCAAATTGTATGTTCTAAAAATACAGTGAATAAAAAATAATAATAATAAAAAAATCTTATTTAACTGTATTCTTTGGAAGAAATAAGAATATAGAAATCCTATCTGAAAACATTATCAGTTCAAATACTGTGTCACACGTTGTCATTCTTCCAAATTGTAGATATTGAGCGAATCCATTTTCACTTACTTGCATCAAATCAAAAAAGGGGAAAACTGATTGCACGATCCATACTCATGTCTAATAAAATTGCAGTATGCACTTTTTGACAAGCCTATATTTAATGCATACTGATGGAAAATTCTAGTTCTCTGTTCTTAGCAGGAAAAGTGGGCTTTTTAAGAAAACCTTTTTATATTGTGACTGTCACACAACATAACAATTATGAATGAAACAGAGGTGACAAGAATGAAAAGCCAGCTTGCTGTGTTTGTATTTCCAGAAAGGCAGTCATTGCTCAGTTATTTGATTTGAAAAATTAATCCTGATAAAGCCTTCTGAGTTCCCTAAGTACTGTTCACTCTTTTCTAGGATGAGTTTTACAAAACAAAGTCTAACAGATTTCTACAGCAGATTAGTTTACAGATGAAGTTCAATTCCACTGAGAATTGTTCTCTAATGACCCCTTTATACTTCCATTGGGCTGTGTGAATGCTTTAATGCCTAGAGAACAGAGTTAAATAAATCTTTTGTCTCAACTAGCAGGTTTATGCAATCCTTCTGAAATATTTTAATTACAGCTTCTCCTTTTTCTCCATAATTAAGAAACCAGATGTCAAGTAAAGCCATCCCATGTTGATCACAGCCTATCCATTAGTTTAAATAAATCCACTTATAATTAGAGTTTTTCTCTTTCTCCTTTCTTTTACAGAGCAAGAAGAATGTGTTAACTGCACAGATGAATGCAGAGTGCTTGGTCATTCTGACAGGTGTTGGATGCCACAGTTCCCTGCAGCCAGTCAGGCTGAGAATGCAGATTATCGCACAAATCTCTTTGTACCCACAGTTGAAGCTAATGTTGAGACTGAGACATACGAAACTGTGAATCCCACTGGGAAAAAGACTTTTTGTACATTTGGGAAAGACAAGAGAGAGCACACTATTCTCATTGCCAATGTTAAACCTTACTTAAAAGCCAAACGTGCCCTGAGTCCTCTGCTTCAGGAGGTTCCCTCAGCATCGAGCAGCCCAACCAAGACATGCATTGAGCCTTGCACCTCAACAAAAGGACCACTGGATGGTTGTGAAGTGAAATCAGGAGCCTTGGCTGAATCAAGCAGCCAGTACTTGTCAACTGACAGTCAGTATCTATCGCCCAGTAAACAGTCAAAAGACGCTCCCTTCATTGCGTCAGATCAGATGGCTAGGGCCTTTGCAGATGTGCATTCCCGAGTGAGCCGAGACTCAAGTGAGATGGACTCTGTTCTGGAGCAGTTAGACCGTTCAGCCCGGGATCTAGGCAGGGAGTCGGTGGATGCCGAGGAAGTTGTGAGAGAAATAGACAAGCTCTTGCAGGACTGTCGGGGAAATGACCCTGTGACCGTCAGAAAGTGAGGGGGAAAATAAGGACAGGATGGCAGTTGCATTCCTCTTCTGCTGATTAAAAGTAAATCAATCAATCAATCAATCCCCTGGTTGTAACAGATTCACAGGAGTGAAGGAAGACCAATGCTGCTTTAAGGCTTTTAGTGAACATCTGAAGTGCCCACAAGTATGTTCTTTTCACTGCTCTTTCTTTTTGACAGATAACACTGGTTTCATTTTGACCAAACTTTCATTAGGACAGAGTCAAGTACACTAAGAACAAAATGAAAGAAGGAAAGATGGTGCCATTTTGACAATCTGATAGGAAGGTGTGAGAAAGGTGGAATGGAAATACGTCCGATACTTTAAGACTGTCCTCAATAGCTGATGCTGACTTTACTGTTTACGTATAAACCCCAAGAAAAACAGGGTTGAATAATTCTGATCTGTGGTGGATTTCCAGCAGTCACCACAGGCTTCTACTGAAAGTCATAAAAAGAGTTCTTGTAGTAGTCCAAGTGACACCAAACATTAACATTCATTTGTGGTAAACATTTATGTACAAAGTTATCTGCCACAAATAGGAAAAACAAAGCAAAACAAAACAAACAAAAAAAACAACACAAAACAAAACAAGAAAACAAATAAAAAAACACAACATTCCAGATCATTATTCAACAAAACATATCCTGATCATTAGTAAAACGCTTCATATCATATTAAGGTTAAATGTAAAATTATATAGTCCATCTTGTTCTGCACACACATAGCTGATTCACTTGATAAAAAAGAAGAAACAAGATTTTAATATCTATTTAGCATTTTAGTGTCCAACAAAACTATAAATAGTTAGTGGTAAGTTTTAAAACAAATTAAGCATATAAAAGTTTGAAAAAAAAAAAAAAAAGTTACCTTTAAGGGTAATACACAAAATAAATTAACATTATTAACACTTTTTTATTCATTTGTGGACACTAAAATAGCTCAGGAAAGTGAAACTGTCTTAGACATCCACAAAAATCACATTATCATTTAAATGTGGAAATGTAAGAAGATTCAGTGTGTTTACATCAAATGACATATTTTTTATTGATTTATTGCAGATTCAGTGCATATGAGCCAAATTGTTGAGTGTATAAGAGCTATATTGTGTATTTTATTAAATTAATATATAGTTGTGTTGCAAAAATATTTGGGCTTATATTGTAAATGGCAAGTGTTGCCTCAGTAGCTGTCGAACTCTATGAGTTTTGTTTTTTCCTGCTTCCTTTTCCCCATGGATTGTGGGAAGCAGCGCCTCAGAGCAAAGTCTCTTGTTTAATGTATGGTCTACAAAGTACTGCAGTACATAATCTGTTCAAAATGTGTTTGAGTGAGCTGATGGAGCTAACCAAATGGCCTACAAGTACATCCATCAGTCATGTTTATGTGCAAATCCTTGTAGTAGCTTCTATTGCAAACCCATGTTTAGTAACAAAAACTACACTTGAACCAACATCCAGAACCTCCTTGGTTGTACTTCGTTTTTAGTTTTGTTTTTTCCCCAAACACATGCAGCCAGCCTGTTTAATGTAGGGTATTTGACTTCTTAAGAGATGCCACCATTTTGAAAGTTTTGCTATTAAGGTCATAGAGCCAAAAACATGTCAGTGCCCTTGTCGCACAGACAGTATTTTGTCTGATTCATTAGCATGTGCAATTGCTCACTGCAGCTCTAGATATGCACTGTTTTTTCTGGGGGGGTGTTTTTAATGTGGTTTTCATTTTTTTTTCTGAAAAGTGTTTGCAGCATAATTTGGGATATAGTTTGTATTTTTTATTTATTTCAAAGGATATTTTTATTGCATTTGAAGAATTCAAAATTGCCTTCAGATGGATAATAAAAAACAACCTAAATTGAAAATAAACTTGCACAGAACAAAAAGAAGCAGACTAAAATTTTTAGCTCAGGATTTGTCCCTTATATACTTTAGATACTCTGTTGAAAATACTACTATGGTGCATTGTTTAAAAAATGCTGTAAAAAGTTTATTACATTTAATCTGTACTATACAAACATATATAAAAGAGGCTGGCAATCTCAAATCCAAGAAAGCCATAGTTTTCATCAGTTCAACAGAGAAAGATGATCCAACAGCCTGTTTTGATGTTGGGATTGCTGTTAAATGGTGATTTTTGCTAGTCAGTCCTACAATGAATTGTCTTTGGGAGACAACCATTATGACAGTTTGTTTTTAGCTCCTCCTGTGAAAAAAGTCCACAATTACATGTAAAAAAAAGAAAAAAAAAAAAAGAAAAAAAAAAAGGATCTTGTACATGTTTTATCAAGCTACTCTCCATGTTTTGGACAATTTATGTATCTAAAATGTGGTGTTGTCTGTGTTATATAATTATTATTTTTTCTTTGGCCAGGAGACCCCAAGATTGGTTTTGCTTGATAGCTTGATAGCTTGAAATTCCATAGTGGAGAGGATTTCTTATTGTTTGATCAGTCTCTTATATGTATTTCCGTGGTGCCTATCACTTCAATGTTTGTGCACCAAGTCTTTAGCTCTGCCAGTGAGATCCATTATTCAGCAAAATCTAAGCCAATATGTAAATGCAGTCAAGTGATGGAGATTTGTGTATTTTATAAATTATTTTAGCACTGAGTAACCAATTGTACAATTCATTGTATGTTTCTGAAGACATAAAGCCACAACATTCTGAGAAAGGGCTGTGCCAATGTTAAGAGGAATTTACCTTAAGGCTCTCTGTCACTAGTGATTTACTAGCTTTAGCTGTTTAACACATTATCTGTATTTAGTAGTGATTATTTATTTACCACTCTGAGGTAATTCAGAATTCATGACTCACAGCTTTATAGAGGAGTTTAGGAAATCTTGCTTTTATTTAATTTGGCTGACTACTGCCTTTTGTTGTGGACCTTTGGCATACTACTTCCAATAAGGATATCCCAAGTTAAAAAAATCTGTTTCACAATTTAGAATGGATACATAACGAACAAATAAACCAGTAAAATTTATACAATGTGAGTTTTGCTGGTTCTGTCAAAATTATCTTGATTGTGTGTAAAGAAAGTGCTATACACAAATTTTAAAAGCATTTTTTCTCTATGGTATCTCTGGAGAAAGAGGCATCAACGAAAGATAAAATTTATTGTTTATTTCTCTCATTCCTTATGTACATGTTTTATAAGACTGAAATAAAATATCTGTCATATGATTATAAAAAGAAAGGCTGAATTAAGGGAGACAATTCAAGTAACTAATAAAATTGTACTGTACACTGTGAAAAACTAAAAAGGCCTTCTATATAGTATTTTTTATTAATGAAAGACAGCAACTGGGAGTTCCTTAAACAATTGGCCAATCAATTCAGGACTCAATTTTTTTTTTTTTTTTTTTTTTTTTTTCTGTAGTGTTTTGTTTGGTTTTGTTTTCTTTTCTTAGTGTATTAATCAGGAAAGAGATTCTCCTGAACTGGGATTTACCACTTGAGAATATTGGGTTTTCCCAGTCCAGGTTAGTCCTAATAGTCAAGCATTGCTCATATTGAAGCAGGGTACATCATTCAAGCAAACTTTCAAGTTGATTGCTGTCCATTGGAAGGGAAACTGCTGAGGTCAAGAAGGTGTCTGAAGCCTAGCATAATATATGCCCACTCATTATTGTTTAATCACTTTTTTTGACATCAGGCAGTGATTATTATTGCATTAATTCAAATGGGAGTTTTGGCTATCAAGATTTGTTGATTTGAAGTGTAATTGAATGAACCTGATTAAGGTTTTTTACTTCTCTGGCCCGGTTGTGATGCAGGTTGGCATTCACATTTATCAGCCCCTGTCTCCCCATATGGCTCAAAGTTGCACCAATGACTGGTGAATGACAAAAGAAACCCAACAAAAAAAAGCAGCATACATTGTATGGATTATCTCAACCGCTATTGTTTAATGGCTGTGTTTAATGTGACCTATCTGGAAAATGAGGACTACGAATAAAAAGCAATTACTAATAGTGGTGTTGCCTGCTTTTGCATTCATTAACACAGAAGAAATGTGTTAAACACTGCATACCACAGGGAGCCTGATGGTAATTACTTTGGAAAACCAACTTGTGGCAATGCGGCTGTTACAGCTAGTTATCAGTTTGCCAAAAAAATGACAGTTCTTGCTTCATTTATTAGAAATGTGTAACCGTTTTCTCTCAACAGGAAGGTGGTAAAGAGATTTCATCAAGCTGGGTAGGTTTATCTTTTAAGCAGCTGATGTGCTGAATCCCTACAGGCTGTTATTTGCTTATAGAAACAGAGCTGAATAAAGGACAGTTTGGTTTAGTACAGTGGTGTAAGTTCACCAAAAGCATTTTAAATGAGGGTATAAGTTCTCAAAGACTGTCAGCCCAACATGAAAGATCAAAGCATTTGAGTATACAAGAAAAATGTCTGGAAAATGTAAAGGGCTTTGGGTTGTTTTTTTATTTTGTTTTGTTTTGTTTTGTTTTGTTTTTAATATATCTTTCATAAGAGCCTGAGTAATAGAGATTTTTTTTTTATTATTTTTTTTTTTTTCATCTTGCTGTGAACAACATGACAAATTGTGAGGAAAAATATGACTAACTTCCATGTCTGGTTGTCTGAGTTTGTTGTTATACTTAAACAATTTTGTTAATCTCTTTTTTTTTCTTTTTTTTTTTCTGTTTGAGCACAATGATCAGTCCCTCAGAGCATGTGGTCCTTTCTGTCTGCTCCTGTGTGATTGAGAATGACACAAAAAATAGTTTAACGCCTCCAAACTGGATTTTTTTTTTTGTTCTTGTTTTTGGTTTTGGAGGTTTGGTTTGCTTTTTTTTTTTCTTCAGAGTTTTTTTTTTTTTTACCAGTAATTAAGTAAATATGCATTGCTTTTGACAGTGAAATAGAATTTAAGTTTTTTCTGAATACTATACATATTATGAAGGTACGTGCTAGTCCTGCAGGAAGATTTACCTTTTGCTCATTGCATGTTTTCTGCAAGTCTTTTTGCCAGAAACAAAACCAGTCTGCATCTAATTAGCTGGCTATCCTAGCCACAGAAAACCCCTATTGTTTTCTTCCTTTTTTCCTGCTACATATATTTGTCTTTCTACAGGCTGAATTCCAAAATCTAGCAAGCTACTGTCTGTGCAGAGTCCTGCCAGAATGTACCTTATGCTGCTGAAGGCCTCATTGGACATGGGATGTTGCTGTCTTGCTGTCTTCAACTGTGTGTAATTCAGAGCTTGGCTGGATCCACAGTATATGCAAAAGAAGTCATAAACCATCCTGGCTTTTCTTTACCCAGAATAGAGTCATTGATTTCTCATTTGGAAAGTGGCCAGTCTGTCAAACAGAGGTTCTTAGATCTCCTTTAAGCCAACTATGTATAACTGCTTCAGGGTGCTCACTCATGGGATAAATACCCTATCCTTAAGCTTTATGGAGTCTAAGACATGAAAGCAGCTGAAAGCTTATTTCTTCAGTTACTAATGACTCCCTAAAAATAAAATGTCTCTGATAGAAAGAAGGGACAGGTCTCTGGTGTATGTATAGCTTGATTTGGTC